TGGCCCACAACCATGTTTTTGGTATAGTCAAAGTCATTAACATGTAAGCTAGGAGACAAAGAACTAGGGTTAGATGTCTGAATGTCTACTCCTATTTTAGCAGCAACATTAAGGAAAGAGGGGTTGTTAAACAAGGAGTAGGAAGCATTGCTCTTACCATGCTTTTTCTGAACTTCCAAGTTTTGAACCTCTTTAAGCTGTTGTGCCTTTTCAATTATAGTCCTTTTATCTCCAGCTACTCTAGCACTTGCTCGAACAGCTTGAACTGGACCCCATTTGGCAGTTTTGTCTCTGCTTTCAGATAGCACAGGGAAGTCAAGATCAAATTGATTGTTGTCCTTCTGATCTTCAGGGTTTGCAGTGATATTTTCTTCATCTTCAGCCTCTGATACATCCTCTCCTAGTTCTTCCTCAAGGTCCTCATCCTCATCCATCAGCTCCATCTCCCTCGGGAGATTGAATCCAGTTGAGTCTCCCTAGCCAGAGTCAAGCAGGATTTCCAGGGCTTTGATCCTTGGAGTGTACTGGGATTTTGGTAGATGAGTTTTCGGCATAGAAGTGGGTGTGGCATTTTCTCCCAAGGGGTGGCTATAGCCAGGGACTTGTGATCTGGGGTTGTTGCTTCCATTTCCACTAAGAGAACCAGTTTCAGACCCAGATCTGGAACCAGAGTGAGATCTGCCATCAGCAGTACCATCTCCCCTGTTCTCAAAGCCATTTGAGGGTTGATTGGGAGCAGCAGGATTACTAGCAGCATCAGTTTCAGTGTAGATAGGAATTGGCTCCACTTCAACCAGGAGTCTATAGATCTGGCCTTTGATGTCAAACAACCTCTCTCTTGGGATCTTGGAAGGATCCTTGCAGGAGATTTTAACTCTAATGGTCTCAAGAATGACTGAAAGATATGCTGCCAATCCACATCCAGCAACACACCCAGAGTGGAAGTGATTTGGTCCAGCATAAACCAATCACACCACTTTGGGTTCACCTTTCTGATTTTGATCCACACCTATTGTGGATCTTCTTCGGTCTCCACATTTCCTTTCCAAACCTCAACATTAACCACTACATTATCTTTTTTCAGGACAAAGCAAGGGTAGGCAGCAACTTGATGTACATCTATCTATCTCTGGAGGGAATTTGACCAGAAAGGTCCATTCATCTAGAGCATTGATTAGCCATGGCCAGTTGGTCTTTTAGATGTCCGCAAATTCCTTGGCCAATTCTTGCTTAGGCACTTCACCAGATTCCACCAGCACAATGCCAACATTCTTCAGCCCTCCATGGTGTTGGGGTTGACATCGGGAGCATCAACATGGTAAAATTCAAGCCTACAAGCAGCACTTCCCACATATCTAGCAGAGGTGTGGGTTTTCTTCCTGATGGGGCAAGATTCCACCTTGTGGTTGACCATCTTGCAAATGAAACAACTCCTAGGTTTATCACACTTGTCTACATGGTGTCCTGGCTCACCACAGCCATAACAAACCACCTGGGAGTAAGACATCAGACCTGTAGCAGATGTAGCAGAAGGAGTGTCCTGTTTCTTCTCCTGCCTCGGTTGATTCTTTGAGCTGCTTTGCCCTCTCGTTGAGTTGTTGTTGTGGTCAGAGGTTGCACCAGCAGGGCCCTGATCAGCCGGCGCACCTAGCCATAGCAACCGTACACAAACCTACTGTTTCATCCTCTCTGCAGCATATTATTTTTCGTCGGCCCACTCTGCCTTCCATCTCTAGCGATACACCCCCCCTCGGGCAGATCTACTGGTGCGGCCCCTGGGGCTGGGAGTTGCGATCCGAGGCACGCCTACGCTGCCACTACTCTTTGGAGAGGCGCTCGGAGAAGAGGGATGAGGGGAAATGGGAATTCTTATGTGTACTATAACTCTCCTAAAATTATTTGTCATTCTTGTAAAACTGTTTGCCATTCTTGTAAAACTCTCCTAAAAAATGAGAGTTTTACATTTATGTGCTAGAATTAATATTGTTCATGTGGTATGCCCAAAAAGACACGCTGTGAAACTGCATAGACATTTAAGTCCGAAATCATCAACTTAAAAAGCTGGAGGAAGAGCTTGCTCCTGCATCTGAAAAGCTGCTGCAAGAGAGATTCACCAACGGTGCCAAAGTAGGTAAGCTGCAAGAAATGATCTAGTTCACGAATCACGAGGTGCGAGCTAGAGAGAGTTTCTGAAGAGAAATCGCTAAGAAGGACCAGGTGAAAGCTGGCAAAGACTGATCGCTGACGCCTTAAAGCACAGGCAGGAGCTCATGCATGCCCACGTAAATGTTGTCAGAAGATTTATTTTTTCTTTTGGAATAGGAAATGCTATCAGAAGATGAGTCCAGACATGAAGTCGAGATCCTGACAATGCACTGGTCTCAAAAGACAAGTCCAGACCCGGAGTTGATATCCTGACGATGCGACTGTCATCGATGATCTCATAGCAACTCCAATAGGCCGAACCAAACTTCCGGGTGCTTTATCCGATTTTCTTCTGTTTGTACGGGCCACGTGGCACCCATGTCCATTTTCGTGTTTGGGTCGGTGCTTGCGCCCAACACTGACCCGACCCATTTTTTGAGTTCACACGTGAAAAAATAAATTACACAAATATTTTAAAATTAATTAAACATAAATGCCGGTCACAACGGCCGACGAGAGTCCACGAGTCCGCATTACATTAATTAAAAATATATAATAAAACTAAAAACGAGGAGGAGGCGCGCTGCCCTAGGTGTCCTCGTCGTCAGCGTCGGGGCCGGTGAGGTCGACGAGTGTCGGCACCGGGCCAGCCCAGGGGAACGCCGTCTCCCAGGCTATGGTGACGTCCTCCGGCCAGCGTGACCGCCGCCGGCTGGGCAGCACGGGCCCGGCGCTCCTCCTCCGCATCGCGCTCCCGCTGCTCCAGGCGCTCGCCCTCGCGGCGCTCCTCCGCCAGCCAGCGCATCCGCCACTGCTCGAGGTAGAGCTTCTCCTGCGCTGGCGTTGCCCCAAGCCAGATGGGTGGTGAGCTGACCGATTCGCGCAGCACTCCTTGTCAGGTGTACCGCTGGGGCGCCGGCATAGGAGACGGCGCCGGCTCGGGCTTGACGGAGGATGGTGGCATCAACAGCAGTACGACACAGTCGCAGGAAGCGGTGAGTGTGATGGCCTCTGACAAGCGTGCCTGGTAAGCCGCCTCCTCCGCCGCCGCCTTGCGTCACTCCTCCTCTTCGCGTTCATGCATGGCACCGCCAGTGCCTCCTGGTAGGCGGCCTCCTCCTCCGGGACCTCTTCACGCACGACGGGTGGCGGCGGGGTGCCAGCCCGCACTTGCTGGACGCCGCGCGCGTCGCTGCTCCTCGTGCTAGAGGGTGAACTAGACCTCCCAATAGGGAGAGTATTCTGCGTAGACGGAGTTGAGGCGCTGCTCCGGCGTCAACAGATCCCGCCGGTGCCACACCTCCTCCATGTGCGCACGCGCCATCCGTGGCACCGTCGGCACTGGGGTCCTTTCTGGATCCAAATGCCAGTCATGTGGCAGGGTCACATCGAGGTACGGAAGGGGGATGCGGTTCTCCCAGTGGCACCTCGCCTAGTGCACTGGGACGCTTATCCGTTGCCTCGCCGGGCGGGCAGACACCGGCGGAGGTGGGGGCATCGCGAGTGCGCGCGAAGAGGATGAGGCGGGGGTGTTGCCCTTGTTCTTGCCAGCGAAGAAGCCCATGGTGGCGCGAGCTAGGCTAGGATTAACGCCGACGGGGGAGCAACGGGGTGGCTAGTGGGGACGGGAGGTTGGAAGAGGATGAGCCCCCCCCCCCTCGATTAAAAAAGGACGCCCGCCGTCGCTGATGCGTGGGCCCGCGGTCTGTGGTCGACAGTAAAAAGACGCGGGAAGTAGTTGACCGGCCGCCATGTAGGGACGCGGCGGACACCGAGCGGACGCGCGGCGCGTCTACTTTGTGTCTGTGCCGACGCATTTCATGTCCAAATTTGATCCGGAAATGGTACGCGCGGACGTGAAGCGGACGCGTTTTCGGAACGGGTCGACGCGTTCGCCAACATTTTTTTCCGCGGCGACTTGAACGGACATGGATGGACGAAATGGGTGGAGCTGCTCTAAATTTAGATTTGAGAGCATTTCTGTTGAGGAAAAATAGCTCTTAAATTGCATGAGGTGACTGAACTAGCAATTTCCATGATCCAATCCAACGGTGGCCAACTCGTAACTGTGTATCTCTCATGTACTTTCTCCGCTCGAAAATACTTGTCGCAAAAATGAATACAAATGGATGCATCTAAAACTAAAATACATATAGATACATTCATTCCTCGGACAAGTATTTCCGGACGGAGGGAGTATATTTGAGAGGCAGCAAGAATGTTACCTCGGATCAGCTGAGGTCATGGCCCTGACGGACATGCGTGGGACTGAACGTCTGAACCATCCTCCATTGGGACAATCATGTCACCATGATTCTGGGACTGTACACGAGCAGGGGGAACTGAGTCAACTGACTGACTGCCAGCGCCATCTCATTCTTGTGACTGGCGCGTCACAGATGGCGGTAGAGTTCGCTTAATTGGGGCGGTGGTGCATCGCATATCGCAAGCGGGAGTGCCTGAAGCTGTTGTTCCGAAATGCTCGGTGCCGCGGTCGGACGTGTGTTCCTGGGAGAGAAAAGTAGAAGAACGTACGTACATCCCGTGGAAACCACGTCCCGTCTCGCGTGGCCGAATGTGGGCTGGGACCGAGTCACGCTCGTGCACGTTGGTCGTCCCTGAAATTGAATCCGACTCGTCCAACGATCGCTGACCGTCTCCTACTCCCGTTGCACAACTTTCCAATCCATATATGCCCTCTAAGAACCACAGAACCACACAAGCCAACTTTACTTTTCACCGTCGGAGCTAAGTTCGCGCGCCGGTCATCCTAAACCCATATCAGCGATCAGCCGGCCAGGAACTCGCCGTAGTGCCGTGGCGTGTTCTGGTAGCGTGGAAAGAGTACTTCTGTCATGGAACCAAGTCAGCCCGAGCTCGAGGAGTTCTCAGCTGCCACCGCGGGCGAGGTGCTGAAACCAGTGGAGGCCCCATCCGATGGTGAAGGATGCCCCATATGCTTGGGTCAAGAGGAGGCCACGGAGACCACTTGGATGAAGACAGCGTGCGGACACATCTTTCATGGGCGGTGCGTGGAGAGGTGGCTCAAGATGAAGGGAAGTTGCCCCGTGTGCCGGCGCCAGCTTTCGATACCGCATGTTGGTGCAAAACAAGATGTTCCATTTATACATCCCTTTGACTTGAGGACGATAGAGTCAATGCGGAGGTTTCCTCACATATTCCCAGATCCAGATGGATATTTCTCAATGTATACGCAGGATATGTTTGAAGGCCATTGAAGATGATGTTGCCACGTACATTATGCTTTCGGTAGCTCTACATATAAGACCGGTGCTAAGAATGTTATGTAAAGTATGGATCTCTTCACTTTCAAACTAATAGAACACGTGATTTCCGAATTCACCTGAACTTTCATGTGAGAATCCTATATACCTAAAAAAATCATCACACTATCTTATTTCTCTTGACAGACAGCTTATCCACATCAACAGCACTACCACATCGGCGCTTTATTAGAGCTTTACACGCGGGACCCAGCACTATACATAATAGCCACGTTAGCTTTCAGTTACTACCGAGAGAGGCTACCCACAGACGTATCTTTCTGTCATTCAGCCCAAACTGTCGCCCCCACTTTCCTCTCTCTATATTCTGACGCACCGTCCCACCCAAGATCCCGTCCCAAACCCCATGCATGACCGGTGGGTCGGCTCCCCTATATTCGCTACACTCTAAAAAGCCATAGCAACCTCACACAAACCTATTGTTTCATCCTCTCTGCAGCATATTATTTTCTGTCGGCTCACTCTGCCTTCCATCTCTAGCGATACCCCCCCCCACCCGGGCAGATCTGCTGGTGCGTCCCGTGGGGCTGGGAGTTGCGATCCGAGGCGCGCCTACGCTACCACGACTCTTTGGAGAGGCGCGGGGCTCAGAGAAGAGGGACGAGGGGAAATGGAATTCTTATGTACATCTACCGCAAGGCAGACGGCGTATCACGGCTGCATCGCGTTGCGGAGTTTCGACGATGGGCGCGCGTGGATGGACACGCGCGTGATGGTGGCGTTGCCTGACGCCATGGTGGCGTCGACGGCAGGCCTGGCAAGGTTGGTGCGTCAGGACCTGCTCTGGAGATGGATCAGTGGTTGGTGGTGAAGGCGGCCACTGAGAGTGGGCCAGACCGGAGTGTGACCCAATCCCGGCATTGTGGCTTGGTTGGGGCATTCGGCTTTGGATGCTAGGATTTGATGCGATGTCTGTTTGGTATTAGACTCGGACATTTGGTACCCGTTCATCAAGGGGATAGGAGTAGCGACAGATGTGTTGCTAAGATGGTGGCTCCAGACATACTGATGGATTACTTTATAAGGTCCTTGTGAATAATTAATAATATGGCTGCATGCATCGTCTAGGTGCAGAGGCCCGGGATATATCTCCTTTTCAAAAAAAGAAACACTACTCCCTCCGTTTCAAAATAGATGACTCAACTTTGTACTAACTTTGCACTAAAGTTAGTATAAATTCAAGTCATCTATTTTGAAACGGAGGGAGTAGAACTCTCCTAAAATTATTTGTCATTCTTGTAAAATTATTTGTCATTCTTGTGAAAACTCTTCGAAAAAAATTGAGAGTTTTACATTTGTGTGCTAGAATTAATATTGTTCACGTGGTATGTCAAAAAAGACACACTGTGAAACTGCATAGACATTTTAAGTCCTAAGGTGATCTTGTGTTATTTCGCAAAAAAAAGAAGAGGTGATCTTGTGTTAATACAATCATCAACTATAAAAAAAACCTGATGTTAAAAAAACCTATATAAAAAAACCTATATAAAAAAACCTATGGATACAATCAAGCCAGGATTTCACGAAGTGCTCACGCGTGCTGCGGTCGGGTCGCCACTCGCCACACGCGCGTGACCTTTTTATTTTTATTTTCTCCTTTTCTTTTCTACGTTAAACTGGCGCCGGGACGAAAAGGCGGTTACGGCTGTGGGGCCACCCCGCCAGGCCGGCAGCCAGCTGTATGTATAACGGCAGAACGCCGTGATCGACCAGCCGTCCGCCCTCCGCCCTCCCCCGCAAACAAACTCCTCGCCGGAAAAAAACCGAACAACCACCGGGAAAGAGAGAGAGGCGAGCAGAGGTTTCGGAGTCAGCCATGGCTTCTGGGACGCCATGGAAGCCCCTGTTCTGGGATCACGTCCGCCGCTCCTACACCATGGCCGGCGGCGCCCGCGCGATCCTCGTCGACGCCGCCCGCCACCTTGCCTTGCCTCTGCGCCACGGCGTCGAGGAGGAGGCCATCTCTGCCATGGACGCCTGCGAAAGCAAGCTAGGCGAGGTGTGCGGGCTACTGGGGTTCCTACTTTCGGCGCTGGGCACAGTGGAGCTCCTGTCGCTTCGGTGTATGCGCTGCGACGATTCCGAGGAGCAGCAGCTCCGAGCGAGGGCGCGCGCGGCCAGGTCGATGGCCGGCGCCGCGTACGACGGGATCGCCAAGTCCCGCGGCCACCTCGGAGCCGCGGCACGCATCTTCGCGCGCGCTGACCTCCCCCGCTCCTGCGTCGACTTGGAGGTCCGCGCCGCCGCGAGGGCCATCGCCGAGGCTCTGGAGCAGGTCCACGGGATGGAGGCTTCCCTTGGTACCCGCGGCGATCTGGCATCGCCGTCCATCTCCATGGCGCACGGCGTGGACTCCAACACCATCCCAGGCCCAGCCGCGGCGGCGGCGCACCCCGGCTCGAAGCGGGGAAGGGGCAACGACGACGCGTGGAGAAGCCTGGCGAGGTCCGTCCCCGGCGCTCTACTCCAGGCGCGCGCCGCCCTGCCGGAGCTCGAGGCGGCGCGCGCCGAGCTCAGCCGCTGCGCCTACGCCTTCAAGTCGTCTGAGCCCTTCGATCAGGCCGCGACGGCCGCCGCCTACACGGACGCGCTTCTCACGCTGGAAGCGGCCCACGCTGCAATCTCGCGCGTCCTCTGCATCAATGGCGGGGCGAGCGCCGCTTTCCTCGCCGCGACGGGGGAGCTCGGACTCGACCGCGTCGGGCCCCGGTGGGTCTCCTGGGAGGAGTCGCGGTCCGACGTCGGCCGCCACGGCCGCGCTGCACTGGACCTGCTGTGGTCGGCGTCTGCGTGCGTAGACTGCCACTTCGGCTGCATCGTCCTCGGATCCGCCTCCCCGTCGCCCGAGATGCTACGCCGAGCCGTCTCCGAGGCCGGTGAGGCGCGGGACGCCGCCAAGATCATGGCCGGCGCAGCCATTCGCATGTCCGTCAACGCCTGGGCCATCATCAATGGGGTCTAGGCAACTGCGCTCCTAACTCAGGCCTGACATCATGTTCAGTAAACTTCCTGTGTTCATCCTGCGGATCTTCGGATTGCAGGTTTTAAGTTCTGTGAACAAAATAATTTTGTTCTGCTGTTGAACTCGCTCTGAACCTTGCTTGTATGCACGAATATGATGGTTTGCAGAAAACCATGTACTAGTCCCTAATTCTTTGTGAAATTCATCGTTTTTCTGGTACACTTTTGTTGTACTTTCAATGGCTAGTGAATAAGCAATTGTTCTTAGAATCGTTGTCTCGAACAATGATTTCAGATCGCCTCAAATATCTTTCCACTTTTGAGTCGTCTCGGGTTACTCATGCGTGTTATAAGATGGTGTCACAAAGCCGCTCTAAAGCCTGCCACCCTGAGAGTGAAAAAAAATTCTGGTGGTAACGTATGTCCTTAGAATCGCTGCCTCGAACAATTTCACTATTCAAGGAATAGTTTTCGTTCATTTCACAAAACTGATTTCAGTCAATTCTAAAAATTTATTTCACTCATTTTGAATAGCATATTTCACTCATTTAAAAAAACGCTTTTCGGGAAAAACTATTTCACCCATTTCAATAATTCTCTCTTTCGGAAAAATAGAGTTCGCTCATTTCTTAAAACCTGAATGTGGAATATATTCAAAACACTAATACCACTCATTTGAAAAGACTTATTTCACTGTACACCACAAATGTTAATTTCACTCGTTTAAAACAACATATTTTACTCATTTCAAAAAAATAGAGTTTACTAGTTTCTGAATTATGACTTCACTTAATTCAAAACACTAATTTCATCAAACTCAAAAAATAATTCTACTTATTTTGAAGAAGTGATTTCATACAATTCAAACCAAAAAAATTCACTCCTTTCAAAAACATGATTCCTGTCAATTCTAAAATTTGATTTCATTCATTTTTAAAAAAATGATTAACTGAATTTAAAAAACACTCATTTTGAAGAAATCTTATTTTTAATCATTTTACCTTTTAGAGAGCAGATTTCACTCAGTGGAAGAACTCGCTCATTTCGAAAAACTAATTTCACTGATTTGAAAACATTTTATCTTCTAGAAAAAGTAATTTCGCTACAAAAACTTACACTCCTTAAATTAGGTTTCACTCATTTCAAAAGGAGAACATGTTTAAAATGTAGCCAAGATTGATCTTCTTCTAAATGTTTTGGCATCAGGAGTTCAAATATATAAAAAGTTTCAAAAACGAGATAATGGTTTAGAAGATATTAATACATTAAATTGGCTAAGATTGAATAAAGTCCATGAATTTGTTTGAGATGGAGGGAGTCCCAATTAAGCTGATACACTACAATACACAGTTATACATCCGTGGTGGTCCTTCTACCGCATGTATTTCAAAAAAACAAGGATGGTCTTAGATGTACAGGTACATAATGTTACCGCTAGAAATGACTCACAGCCCCTCTCCCTAATTTTCACCCTCCCTTATGCACCTCTACCTCGTTTCTCTCCAACCCACATTGATGAGGACATGACTACCTTGGTTATGACCAAAAATATTGCATATATGCATATTTGTCAGGTGATTTCTAGTGCAAACTATTAAATAATCTATTTATGTTATCCAGAACAAAAATACTTCACACACTTTTGTGTTTTGTCTAATTGCAGGTGTATGGGACATTTGTACAATCCACATATGAAGATAAAGAAGAAAGAGATGTTTATTTGCTGTCCAAAAAGTTCTCTCACGTCACTTTTGGCCCAAGAGAAGATAGAGTCCAAGTCTCTCACGTTCTGGATTCAGATTCGGACTGCACAGACATACCTGACTCAAAACACACACAAGTTTTTCATACGGACTCCGAATTGGGTGATTCTTTGTTTGTTGGAAACTAGATTTCGTGCACTTTCCAACCCAATTGGAATCACCTTCAAATTCGTCCGGAGCGTCGAGTTGTGGACGAAACAATATGATGCT